GAAACCTACTCTCGAACGAAGAATTTACAATTTTTTATTCGTCTAACTTGATATTTAAAAGGACCAATCTTAGCTTTTCTACTTGGTTTTCTCACGCAGAACCCGTCCAAAAAATGTTCAAAACAGCAAGCCTTTCCGAGCTTCTTCGGCGAGATTAATTGATTCCAAAGCAGAGTAGTCGCTATGCTGAAGAAAATCGCGCTTCAATTGCATTTCATTCCTGCGAATGAATTTGTTGGAAAATAAGGTACGTGTTCTCGGTCTATATGGATAGCTGCTTGAGAATCTGTACTGACTATGTTCTTAACTTATATTCGTTATATTATATTATATAAGATACCTTACTTCAAATATACAATGAATATACATTAATGCTTAGATCGTCAAAATATCCTCGCGATCATAACTCAGTGTATGTAGAGACGACTGTCAATGTACATCTCGCGGGAATATTTTCATATTATCTCCTTTTCTACAGTATACATTTACACGTTGACGCACCAAGAAGAATTTCTAATCGATTGTCGATTAAATCAGCTTCACGACGAGAATATTATCACAATTTAAGCATACATATTATTATTATATATCGTTACTAATTTGCTTTTTTAATGAATGGACTAGACTCGATTACTTATACAATAATAATAATAATAATAATAGTAGCTTTAACGTTTAAGAATATTGCAGAGAATCGAGAGATACTTTCCGCAAGCTCTAACAGTATAAGTCAGAAATATATAGGTGTACACAAGATTCTGAATCGAAACAGATTACTATTGGCGTGTTCCCACTCCCTTGATACTTTCTTGTTTGCTAGCGACGTTTATTTAACGTTAAACGTGTCTATAATCGGCTATGCCACTCTTCTAAAAGCACTTGAGAAATTGTCTTTTAAAAATTACATCTCGGAGAAGCATACAAATACAAGAAGAAGACATCGGGAAGACTTTTAGCAATTTAAGATTGAATCAAAGTTGGTGATCGATAAGCAGCTACTTTACTGCAAGCAAATCTTTGAAGAAAAGTATAATCCATTTTCTGTTATTTTGCAAATATTTCACGCATAATTACGTTTCATATCTCCAAGGCAATAAGAATACGTCGGATAGTAATAAATTTCGACGTCATCTTGAGCTGCGTTTAGTTACAAAGTCAATCAAAGTAGAATGGGATGCTCCAATAATCGAAGATCAAGATGCAAATAATGAATATTAGACAAGTTTAACTTGGATGGATGTTGCGGGAATGTTCCTTTTTTTCTTTCAAATATGAAAATAAATAATGCAGTTCTTGTACTCCTCTACGCGTTTCTTTTCAATACATTTCACTCATACGCTATTATTACGTTGAAACGTACTATTGCTACATTATCGACGGAGAGAAATTCTTGCAATGTAATTGTTCGTCGAGGAAAGCAATTGCCTAAATCTTTGCATCCGGTGCTTCGATTACGTTGAGAATGTAGAGACATGTAAAATGTACGACGCGCTAAGAATAAAACGCGTTGGAAACGAAATTTAATATCCTTAATGGGAGCGTCACTTTTGTAATAACGCGCCTGATACGTCTTACATATTATAGTTAATAAATAATGCGATGATTCGAAAAGTATGGAAGAGAATATCTAAATATATACCGCTCTCTTTAATTTTATCTTTACCACTTTGATATGCGTTTGTGGATATGCAAAGTTTGCCGTTTTAGAAGCGCGTGGAAATAACAGCTTTTTTGTTATCTTAAAATAGTTTTCTGCTTTTCGTGCTTATATATTATATTTTTACTCGCGCGGGGATCTTCTTTAAGAGTTCATTTTTTAACGGGACATTTTCCTGACTTTGCAAGTGAGAGAGAGAGAGAGAGAGAGAGAGGAGAGAGAGAGAGAGAGAGAGGGGGGGGGGGAGGGGGAGAATGCGCTTAAAATTATTGGAAGGCCCACCTAGCGTCGCTAAACACGAATTACACGTATACATAAATAATGTGTATAAATTAATTAAGTACAAAAATTACAAACTTATTAACAAAATATTGGCAAGACGAGTTTAGCCGAATTAACGGACTACGAATATCGCATCACTTTCCGTCCTCTTATCCGATCGTCTAACGAGAATTTCAAGATTCGATAGAGAACTGAATAACCGAAGGAGCACGAAGCTTCGATTCCCGTTGCAGTAGCCTATTAATCAAAGCATAAAATTATGTTCAGAAAATTAAAACTTCAAAAATTTTATAAAAAACTAATTCATATCGTATATTTATGTTGTAAAATTACACGATATTCACTGCAATAAATTGTATCTACCTATACATGTATATTCACATATATTTCTAAGATACTAAAAGTATTTTATACAGCATTTATTATTAAGAAAGTATGTACGCACGAAAGTATATACTTTCGTATGTAATCGCGAAATATAAATATTTATTTTTATTAATTAATTATTATATTAATTAATATTAAAATGTACAATACATTTATAATTAATGTTAATTAATCACATTAATTAATATTAATTATAAATGTATTGTACATTTTGGGATTACATACAAAAGTATATAAAATACTTTTAGTATTTTAGAAATACAATTTTTAACGATTTTTTGTTGCTGTTTCGACGTCGCACAAAACGACTGCAAACAAATTTTCACTAACACAGTTGTTGCTTTTGTAAAATTTTATAAATTGTTTAATCGACTAATGCAAATGGGAAACTTTCTTCTTTTTCCAACTTTTATCAATAATCCATTAATTATCGCGAATTGTTCAAAACATAAATATGCAGGAAGCCAAGAGTCACGCAGGGATATTGAATTTGAAACATTCGGTGACACTGAGTCCTTGATTTTTGTAAAAAAAAAAGTTGTGACGTAAAGTGGTGAGTATAGATCGAGAGTACAGACCGTAGAAGGAAGAAAACTTATTAAACTTTATATTTACACCTTATCCCGACAGTAGGAATTCCATGTAACCGAGAGAGATCGTTTATATATATATGTGTGTGTACGTGTACGTGTATGAAATGTGTACTGATAGTGTTCTTCTTTTTCTATTTAAACTATCTGCTTGCCTATCGTAATAACAACCTGCATTTTTAAAACCATAATATCTTATTCTGCATCCACAAAATGCCGTATCCTTACGAGAATCGGTCTCTTGTCAATCGGAGCACTTCCGAGTTTCACTTAGAAATGAATCACCGTCGTGTATTTTCGCAATTCGTACCGCGACATGTTATCTGTCAAATTTCTGGACGAATCTCCTCATCACCATTCTATGTCAATAAATAATTACACTCGAGTACGCCTTCGTTCTGAAGAGCGCCATTTAAATTACCTAACACATATCACAGAATCCATATTCTCTTTTAGAAAAAGAAAAAGAATTGTACAAACGCAATAGTACGGGATACAAAAGTATTAGAGTAGAATTATACAAATACAAGTCATACGGTATTAATACAAACTAAAGTCACATTTGTTGCGCTTGTCCGAAGATCGAAATGACAAATTTTGTGCTCTCATTCTTAGATACGAACAGCGTTTGACGCTTTTTGGTTCAAAGGAATGTTGTTCATAACCCCATTTTGCTCGGCGTCTGGGCAGTGATCACTATTTTACGCTATATTCTTTAGTTTATCGCAGAACAGAAATAGGATGCACAATTGTTTATCGCAATAGCGAAAATGACATATTTCCTTACGAATTGAAGAGTAAAAAGTAAATCACGAAATTCATCTACTTCTCATTATTTTGTACGATAATTCGTCTTCGAACTTTATCCATTTTCGTAGCGTACAAATTTGCTTTTATATTGCTAAATTAAATTTTATACAATGTAACGTGAGTCATTTCTTCGGGCCTCGATAAATTTAATTTTGATATTCCGAAGAAACAACCAGTTAAACCGAGATAAATAGTTGGACGTCTATTTCGATAACCAATCTTTGAAAATAGAGAAAACGGTGTAGTTTCGAGAATTCGTTGGATTTCTCTATTTGTATCTGTTCCGCAATAGAGTGCTATTGCTACTTGTCATGCAATCGCTGCGCTCTGCAGCAGCGAATAAATGAAAATCGCAAAACGCCTCGTAATCGCTGCCCCTCACGCATACAAACTTGCGATCAGTGGTCACATGCAGAACTGTGAATCCTGAAGAACATCCACTTAACGTATCGATATGGATAAATTAATGCAATAAACGTTATGTAATAGTAAATTGGTTATTAGCTTTGCAATAAGTATGTTACAGTACTACACGTAAATTCTTATTTCCTTTTAATCGACATTATCTGTATGGTACAGTGACACGTTTTGGGATCCGCTTCGGTGAAGACATTTCCTCAGAGATACCTGCAAGTAGAGAAACGCAGAATAGTAAAGGCTCGCGCGATAAATATTGATATATTTTTCAACAGGAAAACAAATTTTCCACGTATTATTTTGCTCCGTCCGTTCATCGCCGACCGGGCTCACCTTCATCACTGACGCAAAGCGACGCCGAAGTGACCAAGGGACTATTGGTTGAGCAGGGTGTTAGTCACCTCAGAGATGGACAGCAGAGGACTCCCGGCGTCCGGTTTGGTATCTGCGGGACAGTTGGGCCCATTCCCGCCGCCGCCGCTGATGATCCCACCACGTGATGGTGGTGGTGGTGCGGAGGTTGGTACAAGACGTTGCTGTTGTTGCTGGTGGTGTTGTCCACCCCGGTGCCCATGCCCATGCCTGCCGCCACCCCCGTCCCCGTTCCCGCAGCTGACGGCGGCGTGCTGCAACCAAATGGACGGTCTCCCCGTTATCTTACGTGCGCCTGAATTAGGCTTTTCCCGTACGCAGATAGTGGCGTGGGCGCGTTGAGCAAGAAATCGGCCAGAAATCTGCTTCCCAGTGTTATTGGGAGTAAGAACTTTCCCAGTGACTCGACTCAAGTGAGAAATATTGCAGGAGTCCGATTCGCGAGCCGACATCAAGTAGTTTTGCTCATGAAACGATCAACCGTTCAATCGTGTCTTATTTGCCTCCCAAACGTACTTTGCCTAGGAAACAAGACTGAATCGAATGCGATTTTCTAATCGTGTAAAGACTGTCGTTGTTTCGTTTCACGTAACACTTGCATGTTTGGCTACTTTTTTGATTGATGACGTTGTCGAACGATCGTGTTGCTGAAGCTCAACGTTGTTAAACTCTGATTATTATAATAGTACTAGCTAACTTTATAAGTAATCATTAAAACTATACATATGTATATGAAATGATGCACAAAATAAGCATGCATTTGCTCTGCCACGATGTACCAAATGGACAAGCACAAATCATAGAGAATTCATATCCACAAATGTATGTGTATTTATATAAAAATATAAGAAACATTTTTATATATTTTATGAAAATATGCTAGCAATTAACAGACTGTCCAATTGATGGAGACACGCGAGTACGTGAAATTAAGGAGCACTCGAGTCTCTTTGTTTTCGCGATTGTGATTTCGTTTTTCAATGCGACAATGCTTTCGAATTACAAACAATCTGCAGATAGCAGATACTGTATGCAACAAGCAACACTAATTTCGTTTCGAATGTAATTTTTACAAAAAGTATCTCAAAACGTAATATTAAAATCTAATCCAATAATCTAGAATAATTAACAGTGTCGTATTTATATGTATATCATATTCTACTATTAGTAAGTTTTGATCTCGAAACCTCACGCGTGTAATGTAGCAGCAGCATCTCGCATTAAATCTTCAAATTGGAGATGATCAATTCTCCGATTTTCCCGATGCAACTCACCTTGAGAGAACACACGATATTATATTTTATTTCCTTGAAAGGACTGTTATTTCAACAGACCTCTCGCATTTGAAATATAATTCAGCAAAAATTACCATAACGTAATGTTAACAAGATTAAAGATCGAGTCGATTCAAGATACAAAAGATATGACGGTGAAAATTCGTATTTTGCCAGTTGCAAATCTAGAAGTAGCATACTTTATCTCCTCGGAGGTTTGATCATCTTACTGTAAATGACAAAAATTATAATAAAATCTGTGAGGTAGCAGTGACACTCACTGGGGCGTGTGCCTTGGTGGTGCGGGGTGGTGATGGTGGTAGGGATAGTACTGGTAGTGATGGTGTTGCACTCCTTGCCATACCTCGGAGCCCGCTTCCCCGTGTCCGCCGTGGCCCGGATGAGAGTGCGTGTAACCGATGGTGCTGGCGGCGGCGGCAGCGGCCGCAGCGGCTACCGCAGCTGCTTGGTATTGCGACGTTGTGACGGGGTATTGTTGCTGATGCTGCTGCTGCTGCTGCTGCTGCTGTTGCTGCTGCTGCTGCTGCTGCTGCTGCTGGTGGTGGTGCTGCTGCTGCTGTTGCTGCTGTTGCTGAGACTGCGCTTTGTTGTTCCTTGGCGGACTCGGCGCGGTCACTTGCTGATCCGTCGGGGAGGTTTGTCGCCATTTGCAGTCCCCGTTCATGGAGTTCATCTCCGCGAGCGATTTGAGCGGATCGCCGGTGGCGTTGGTCGAGTGCGTGGACGAGTGGGTCGAGTGCGGCGTCGGGGGGCTGTAGCTGCCGTTATTCCTGGGTGGTGTGCGCGACGGCGGCGCGCCCCACATCAGCACCGTCTGGCGCGGCGCCTCATTGTTGTACACCTCCGACTTGACGTCCTCGATCTTGGGCGTCAGCATACCGTTGGCCGCGCCGGTCACTGGCGAGCTGCCGGCGGAATTGCTGGACGACGCGCCGCCCTCCAGGGAGTGCCTGCTGCCGGCGCGCACCACGTTCATGTCGGCCGCTGCCGGGTGCATCGTAGACACGCTCGCCACAGGACTGGCGGCGTAGGGTGAACCGCTGACGCTCCCGGGGTGTCTCGTCTCCACGTAGCTGTACTTGGGCGACTCGCCGCTACCTAGCTGCTGGCAGTAGAGCTTCTCCTCCGTCTTGCTGGTCAGCTGATGGGTCTCGTACGTGGGTAACGACACGTCGATGAAGCCGTTATACGCGGTGCCGGTGTGATATTCCGGATAATATGAGCCCAACGGCCTGTACTGGAATAGATTCTCCGTCGCGGCTGTGAGGTACCTATATATATATGTATAATAGAAAGGATTTAGTTTTAATGTAAGATGTGTCGATTTGTGTTATCCTTTTTTATTTCACATTCGCAATTGCGTTTGTGTTCGCTTCGCATTTTCCGAAGACAACCTCTGTCCGGCAGTAACAGAATTTTGTACATTTTCTAGAGGAGTCTTCGGGAGTACAGCCATTCCGCGTCAATGTATTATAATAGTCTACCAAATCATTGTGTGGGATATCAAGTGTCGCTTTGGAATCGCCACAGCCAGGTAGGAAATGCCGATACTCGGGAAACGGGCCAAGATCGGCACGAGCGTCGGCTTGCCGAAGCTTGATTCCAAGCTTGGCCCAACTGTGGCCGAGGATCGTAGTGAGTGCACTAGGACCGGCAACAAACTTGGGTAACCGAGATTTGGCAACCAAGTATTGCCCGATACTGGGCCGAAGTTTGGCCAGACTTGGCCGAGACTTGCAACCTGTGTCGGGCCGGTGTTATCATCCCGTCATGCAACCAAAACCGGGCCAGTCGTGGCTGAGGAACGGCGCCCAAGATTGGCAGCCTGGGTGCTAAGGCTTAGGCCAATGTTGGCCCGTTTTACATTTCCTACATGGGATATATTCTCTACTTTATTCGGCGAAATAGACTAGGCAAGCGAGTGTGGGCTCGGATAGCTCACAAATATTCGGAAAAATTGTACTCGAGATCAAGGAGTACTCAGTATCACCCTTTGTCACCTCACCTGTTATCCAATGCGCTCGCTGAATAGAGGGTCTGATGATAGTTGCCCGTGTGACCGATGTAAGTCGTCAGGGAAGGATCGGTGCTCGCCGCCACCGCTGTGGGCGGGTACGGTGTCGGGTACATGGTGTTCAAATTGCTGTACGCCGCGGCGACCGCGGCGGCTGTGCTGGTATCGGCCGCGAGATAATCCACGGACGCGACCGCGGGGGTCACCGGCGGCGAGACCGACGACTGAGCGGAGAGCTTGGTGCGCTTGCGTGTGCACGTCGTGAGGAAGTCCCGCAGCTGCGTTTTGTATCGCCTGTTCACCCTCTGGGGCGCCGGTTGCGCCGGTAACGTCGGCGTCATCACCGACCCCGTGAGGGTGTCGCTGTCCGAGAAGTAGCTGTTGGTCAATCCAGCGTCGAGATAGCTCACCTTGAAGTCCATCGTACGTTTGCCGAGCAGGTCCCTGCCCTCCTCCTCCCTGAAATGTGAATTAACTGTATCGCAGCCCCGCTCGGTCCCCGCGGCCGCCAAACGCAACGCTGAAACTTACATGAGAGGTCGATGAGTACTGAGCACGAAATCTGGTTTCGAGTTTTTGTAGACCAGCCTGGAGCTAGTCTGCAACCACTGCCATCCGCCGTCCTTCGTTTGAAATCTGTAGGCTATCATGCCCGACGCACCGGTTTTCAGTACTAAAGGAAGAAGAGGAGAGGAGAAAGATAAAAATCGTACCAACTAATACTTCGCTAATACTTCATCTCGTTGGATAATCCGACGTCACTCCAACAAAATCTGCTTTGGTATCGTTAAAACTTTAAAATCATCAAACTCTCGGTCTGAGCAATGTATAGCTAATAAAATTGCTGCTTTCTCATAAAAGTTGCAAATTGATTGGCTATAAATTTCTCGGACCGAGCAATGAAACGGGTTCAGTTGGGAGAGATTTTCAAAACTTCATTAAATTGTCAGTAGAACATTTCCACCAGGCCTGGACTTACGTTCTTGATGCGCGCTGGCCACGTAGGCCAGGTCGTCGTAATGGACTAGATCGTAACCGCCAAGATTCGTCAGTTCCGCGTCGGAGTAACCCAGGAGCATCTTCCCTTTCTGATCCATCGTCACGAGCGCGAGGTCCAGCTTGTGTTTGCTCTTGAACATCACCTCCTTCTGCGGCACCTCCAGAAGCGATGGCGGCCCGAACGGTGTGCACAGGGCGAACAGGGCCAGCGGCGGCTCTTCCGTCTTCCGGTTCTGGCCGTGAAGTACTTTAACCCGACCCCTGATGTCGAGGCGCTGTAATAAATGATCCAGAGTGTTCAATAAGTAACATTACCCAACCGAACTTACGCGCAACACCGTGCGTCGCTCGCGCTCATAGATTCATCGCTGCTACAGTAACACATAACAATACAATCGATTTATTATACATACAATTACACAACGAATTTTATTCCAGGTGTCATATATCATCGAATGAAATATTTCATCATACGTCACATTCTTCGAGTGCTCGCAGCCTCGTCGAAGGACGCAGTATGCGCGAGTGACAGATCGAAAGTCCCCGTAACAGGAGACGGTCTCGCGTAAATGGACCCGCAAGAAAAGAAAAGAGACAACGGCAGCCCACAGTAGCTAGATCGACGGTGCACGTCCCGACGCGAAGGACGCTGCCGAGGGCAGGTCCCGAGGGAGGCGGTGGCCCGGCGCGGTGCGCCTCTCGCGCGCGCCGTAAACTCTTTTACGATTACAGTTTCATTTTCATAAACGTCAAAGCGGCGCCGTTTTTGCCCAACTCTCGCGAGCTCGGCGAACTCGCTCCTCTCACCCTCTCTCTCTCTCTTCCTCTCGCGCCTCGTCCTTTGCCCAGGATAATACCGCCGTCCGGCCGCGTTCGACACCGGGTATACCTGCGCGCGTCCGCGGAGTGTTTGCCGTAAGATAATTAGTGTTTTGCCGCGTCTTGGTACCCCGGCTGCCCACCTTGCCTACCTTCTTCCCTTCTTTCCATTCCCCTCCCCCGTCCAGGGAGAGCCTGGTTTTGTTTGGCCCTTGATTTATACCTTTTCTTGAGCGCCGTCGGGACAACGGTACCAACGATGGACAGCTCGGCCGTCCGGACGAATTATCGTTTCAATCTCCGCCGCGCGCTGTCACGGTCCATTGGCCGGGCCTATGATTATACACGTCCCAGCTTTTGCGCGGGGAATATCGGCCCCACGGCCTAGATTTAAGGCCGTTGACGTAAACGCCGCTCGAAATTTCTTCGGGAATATTCAGGAAATCTGCCCGAGCGCCGGATGCCCCGCTGGCGAACGATCCTTGGAGAACGCGGGCCAATTTCCGACGCGCCGCGTTTACAGACCGAAACTCGCGTTCGTATCACACGTTGAAAGTTGTCTGATGAAATTTGCGTTTATATATAATTTGTAGGGGAACCCGGGGCATAACGGGAACGCTAAGGTTAAAATTAATTTTAAACAAAATAAAAATACATAAATGAATTATTTTTTTACGAAAATATTCTTTGAAATGTCTACTATAAGAAAAAAATGGTTTTACTGTGATAGAATAGTTTAAAAGGACGAAATTTTTATTTTATTGAGACCATGACTTAATCTGATTATCATTTTATGCGGGGCATAATGGGACTCCTTACAAAACTTC